ATATATGTATCTATCTTCTATCTATCTATCTATCTATCTATCTATCTATCTATCTATCTATCTATCTATCTATCTATCTATCTATCTATCTATATATATATATATATATGGTATATATAATATATTATAATGTATATATTAGAAGATAGATAGATAGAGAGAGAGAGAGAGAGAGAGGAAGAGTGAGAGAGAGAAAGAGAGAGAGCGAGAGGTTAGAAGAGAGAGAGAGTGTGTGAGAGAGAGCGAAAAAAGAAAGAAAGAGAGAGAGAGAGAGAGAGAGAGAGAGAGAGAGAGAGAGAGAAGAGAGAGAGAGAGAGAGAGAGAGAGAGAGAGAGAGAGAGAGAGAGAGAGAGAGAGAGATAGAGATAGATAGAGAGAAAGTGTAAGACAGATAGAAAGAGAGAGAGAGAGAGAGAAAGAGAAAGAAAGAGATAGATAGACAGAGACATAGACAGAGATAGATAGATAGAGATAGATAGGGGGCGACTAGGACTATGAACAGTAATTTCGCAAAAGAACATAAATATTCCTCGTATTTCGTTTAATCACCTTTGGCTCTTTGCCTGTGGCCTGCCTTGCTCTCGGACAATATTGCAATGCAGTTTGAGAAGAGCCGGGAGAGTAAATTTGGCCGCCTTTTGCATGTGCAATATTTATTTCTAGAAGGCGAAGTTTAGCAAAAAAAAAAACAAACAAACAAAAAAACATGTCTTTATAAAATCTTAAACATGAAAAAAGTTTTTTTTTTTATATAAAATCTTAAGCATAAAAAATCAGTGGGCAACAAAAAAGATGATAATAATAATGATGGCAATAATGATAATAATAATAATAATGATAATGATAATGATAATAAAATAAATAGATAATGAAATACATGCATACACATATACAAGCACCCACATGTAGTATACATGTTGCACGTATTGCAAATGAAATAACGAAATCATCATCATCATCATCATCATCATTATCACTATCAGTACTATTACTATTATCATCCTCATTATTATCATTACAATTATTACTATCATTATTACTATCATCATTATTTTCATTATTACCATTAATTTTTATTCGTGTTAGTGATATCAATATCACTAAGCACCCTCATCATTATCATCATTATCATTATTATTTCATCATCATCATCAATGTGATTATTATGATCATTATGCTATGAATTATTCTTGATATCATTACAGCATATTTTTTTTTTGTTAATTATTATTATTTTTGTTAATTATTATTCTTAATATCATTACATCATCAACATTTGCCTGGCACAAATTACCATCATTATATTACTGATTATCATTATCATCATTATGCTTTCAATTATCATTATCAATCATTATCATATTATCAATGCGATCATTATCATCAATCATTATTGTAATTCCCTTAATATACACTAATTTACAATCCCTTCTTCTATGCTAATCTCAATTTCTCTTAACTTACTGATCTGTAATTCCCCTCCTTCTCTTCTCCTCTTGTATTTCCCTTCTTCTTTGTCTCTCCCTCTTCCTTCGTTCCTCTCGCATCTTCCCTTCATAGTGTTCCCCTCATCATCTTATTTATTTATCTTTATTTTTTTAACTCTCTCTTTCTTTCCTTTTTACCTCTTCGATGAAGGGGGGGGGGGAAGGGAAGTAGAGGAAAAGAGGGAGGAAAGGAAAAGAAAGTGAGAGAGAGAGAGAGAGAGAGAGAGAGAGAGAGTAAGTGTGTGTGTGTATTTGTGTGTGTGTGCGTGTGTGTGTGTGTGTGTGTGAGAGAGAGAGAGAGAGAGAGAGAGAGAGAGAGAGAGAGAGAGAGAGAGAGAGAGAGAGAGAGAGAGAGAGAGAGAGAGAGAGAGAGAGAGAGAGAGAGAGAGAGAGAGAGAGAGAGAGAGAGAGAGAGAGAGAGAGAGAGAGAGAGAGAGAGAGAGAGAGAGAGAGAGAGAGAGAGCGAGACCAGAAATACAGAAAATACAAGAAAGAGAGAAAGAGAGCGAGATTAAGAGCTAGATCGAAAGAGAGAGAGAGAAAAAAAAAAAGAAATCGGAGAAAAGAGAAAGAAAGAAAGAAAAAACAGACAGACAGAAAGCAGATCCAAACAAACCCCAACCCGAACATCAAACCCTAATCACTAATCCATCGAAATGGACTTCTGAAAATGTAACTTAAAGTATTACAAGTCTGGAACAAGTTAGCCAAAGTTCACCTCATCCGAAGGTCGACCGGTGACTGCGTGCGGAAATAATAACAACGTGTCTATAAAGGTCTGTGTCTGTCTGTCTGGGCGTCTGACAAACGTGTGTCTGTCTGTCTGGGAGTCTGTTTTGCCATCTTCTTCTCATTTCATTTTTCTAACTATAATTTGTCTGTCATTCTCTCTGTAAAATTGGGTGTTCTGTCTGTCATGTGTTCGTCAAAGTTTTTTTATGTTTATATATGTTTATAAACTTGTTTTTTTTTCTTATCGGAATAAAAATTTGCCAGTTTACTATTTTATATGA